ATTTAAACACGATGCTTCAGAATCCAATAAATGGATGAAACGTGGCCATCTCGTACCGTACGTTCCGATTTTGGTAATTATATGATTGGTTGGTCGTTGGAAGCATCAAAGCTAGAAAGGTGATGCTCCATTTTCTTCTGACGGTTGGGGCATGAGCATTAACTCTTGTCCTAGCATTTTATGACTTATGGATGTAGCGCCATTACTCCCTTCCTGAAAAGAGAAGAGGGAAAGGAAAAGGAGAAGGACAAAGGGAAAATGATTATGGGAAATCTATGAACATATACAATATTTTTGATTTGAAATATAGGGTAAATAGATGTAATGTCGGCCTAAATGTCGGCCCATACATAAATTCAGTAATCGACTAAATTTTCAATAGCTACCAAAAATATCCATTAGTACCGTCCCAATGACGCGTTCATCTAGATAAAATTGATAAATAGCAGGTTTTTAGCGATGGGCCCAATCTTAGATCCATAGGCCAACATTAGAGCCATTTTCCCCTACAATATAGAAATGAAGAACGCGGTGGCAATACATAAGCTAGTAATCACGATGATCACAACACGGTCACGTTTTGTCATGACAAAAAATCGATGAGATTTTGAAGAAAATCTCTGTCGTCGTTTTCTCATCCGATGATGTTGACAGAAGTATCTCTGTAAATATCGCGTGAGATCTTTCATTGAAAATGACATTTGCCAGCCCTGTTCATAACTTCGGAGAACTTTGAGATTTGGACGTAATTGCTTTTGTAAACAAACAAGTCAAACGCTGATTTCTCACGAATTAACGCTCAATCTTGCGAACAAACTATACCACCCGATAGACAAATCATCCATCTACCTGTTTGTGTGGTTAATTTTCGAGATTGAGCTTTGATTCGCGAGAAATCGGCAATTGCCGTGTTTGTTTACAAAATCAATTACGCCCAAATCTCAAAGTTCTCCGGAAATGTGAAAACAACATCAGGTCAGTTTGTCCCATCAAGCAAAATAATCGAATATCAGTCCTATCCTGAAAGTCAATCGCCCATAGTTCAAGTTAAACGTCTGCTTTTTTAATTGCCATATTTTTCGCTGATTTAACAAAACATGCAAGCTTCATTGCAAAAGATTTTAACTTGAAAAAATTATCAATTAATTTACTATTATTTATCCGGAGATGAACCAGCGTTAGGCTGAAAATCTCCTTAATAAAGACAACCAACCAACCAACTACTATTATTTATCAAATATTTACATGGAAATCGCGCTTCGTAACTTCGACTGCCATTTTCTCAATGCCTACTTTTTCCATATGGGACTGATATGGGATTATAGCGAAGACAACACATCAAGAAGACTGGCAACTCTTCCATTTCCTCATACGAACGTTATGAGACAGGTACAATCGCGTCATCTGCCGCTCAAAGGTAAATGCTTCGAACGAATTTGATAGTAAAGATTACATCCTCAGAAGAAGGGTTTGTGTATTTGCTCATTTTTCTATGCGTTGCTTCCACCTTCACTCAAGCGCAGCGCCACTGTATCTGTCGCTTGGATTCTTTGTTGTCTTCGATTATAGGCAGTATATCAGTTTCAAGGTATCGTACTTAAAAAAATTGGAAAATTGCGGATTTATCTTTTTTTTTAAATTAAAATACTATACTTAAACACAAGATTCTGTATGAGTTGAGCTTGGATGAATTCCGGACTTAAATATTTTTAATTTTCAAACCCAGAACGATTTGTAAGGTTTCGTATTGACGATTTTTTTTAAATTTTTAATTTAGTTTTGTTTAGGGCCCCAGTCTTAAAACAAAAAAAAAACAAGGCTTAGCGGAGATAAACCAGTGTCTGGCTGAAAATCTCCTTAATAAAGACAACCAATCAACCAACCAAAACAAGGCTGCGGGTCATATTAAATTCATCGGATCTTGGACTTGGAAATAGCTTAATTAAGATCTTCGAATAATAAAAAGAATCCGGTCATAGCAAAGTCTCGAGCTTGGTACAGTTTTAAATAATAGAACTTCTTTTAATTTTGTCGAACCTGTTAACGGAAGCCCTGTATGAAGAGCTTTTTGAGTGTGCTTACAGATACGCGTATTTCGTCTACTACTTGCAGACTTCATCAGTGCCAAGTACTCAGCAACACTAAATACGCGTATATGTCAAAAGATAAGTAATTCTAACGGAATTAAAAGGAAATTAATCAACTCACTCAAAAAGCTCTTCATAATAGAAATTTGTAGATCATTTCAATGTAAAAAAATAAAAAGAATATGTAATAGGGTTAACTACCCCATTTCCGGCCTATTAAGCATAACCTGCACTTAGTCTTTCTTAATCTAGTTCAGTTTAGCACCAAACGGATTGTTATTATTACTGATGGCTTTCAAATTTATTTACCTTTCCGTACGTACCGTAAGATTTGAAAACGAGAAACCAATCGTTGAGATATTGTCAAAAGTCCAACACTGCTTCTTGACGCCGGTCGGAGCGCTTCTTTTGTTTTTGGTAATAATCGGTGCAAACCTTCATATAACGCGTTCTCATTGATTTTGTTTCGTAGCTTATTAACTAAAGTATCATACTAAACGCATAACTGACTTGTTAACTCTGAAATCATGGAATTATTTGAAGTATTCTGCTCGATAGGCCCAAAATGGGCGATTAGGCCGAAGTAGTTCTCTACCCTATCCTGAATTTTCCATTTTTTTATGATCCTGGACTTCGAAAACATATCATGATCCCAGAGATTCTAGACTAAGAAACATTCTCAAGATTCCAAACTAATACATTTATAATATGACTTTTGATATCCTGGGGTTTTGAAAAATTACTTAAAATATAATAGGTATATCGCGGGGGGGGGGACCTCGGCGTAGTGGTTAACATCCATACCTCTCATGCCAAAGTCATGAGTTCAAATCTCACCCCCGGACAAGTCACAAATGACCCAAGAGTGTTAAAGTGACTAAAAAAAAAATAAAATAGGTATATCGAGATCCCAGATTTGCAAAATCCGGTCAGAGAAAAAAAATGATTAGCTTCCAAAACACAAGCCAAAATTTGAGTTATTGGACTTGTGAAAATGTATCCTGGATTGAAAAGCTTATAAAAAATGCTGACATTAATCTATTGTAAAGTTTTGTTCAGAGCTGGTAAATATCACGGCCGTCATGTGTCAATGAGAAAACAGGCCCCTCACTATCACGAGACGAAAATACCTATCATTGGCTTTCTTATCATTTTCCAATGATCAAGCACTCATGAGAATAATTCTTATGCAGTTTTGACAACAACATTTCTAATATGAATATATTATTAAGACTTCCTCGATTCTTATAACGGCGCCGGTGGTGGTGTAGTGGTAAGCGTGATTACCTCTCACCCCAGCAGGCCTGGGTTCAATCCCAGTCGGCGCCGCCGGGATGTTCTGAGGCATAACATCTCTGATCACGCCTTCCTTCGGATGGGAAGTAAAGCCGTTGGTCTCCGGTTCATGAGTTGATGGGTCGATAGGTAGGGTCCAGGTGTGGGAGTTGCCTTCCTGGCACGTCGGTAGCATTGGTGCTCAGCACGGAAAACAAGATCGACGGAAAAAACAAACCAAAGGAAAAAAAAAGACTTCCTCGGAACAAGTAACATTAATAGATGTAAATGAGCTAGTAACTGCTATAAACACAACACTGTCACGTTGTGTCATGACACAAAATTTGATGAGATTTTGAAGAAAATCTCTTTCATCATTTTCTCATCCAATGATAGTGACAGAAGTATCTCCTTAAATATCGCGTGAGATCTTTCATTGAAAATGACATTTGCCAGCCCTGGTTTTGTTACATTTAAAAAGGTATTTTTTTTTTAATGGACTGAGCATTAACATTTTGAGGGATTATTGGAATACTCAAAAGTATTGTCAATATTTCTGCTCGTGTGGTGCGCTTATGGCTGGCACTTACGAACCGATACCAAAAGCCATTCAGATTTCAAATACCCATAATATTGTTTTATTGCTACTACACCATCTAGAGAACAGTGCACCCAGGCACCGAGTGGAGACAGACAGGTACCCACGAAAATAAAAGCGACATGCTAACCGAGCGCTCTCCTTTCGGAACAGCACAGAAAAGCCAACCATTCAAGTTTTACGTTCCACGATGGGGAAAAAATTGATGAAAGGTAAAGTTGAGCCATTTACGATGAATTGTTGATCACGCCATCTGTTGTTACCTCCACGATGGATTCAGGGAGGATGCGAGGGTGCGAGCTTTCGATTTACCGTGAAAACGATCCATTGCTGCCTTGAATCTTGATGCGAATGGTCGGTCGAAAATTATTAATGATTGACTTTGCTTTTTATCAGTTGAGAAACGTGGTTTGCGAACTATTGAAACATACTAGTCAGCTCATAAAAATAAAAAAAGACATTCAGATATGAGCAAATTCTATTTGATGTAATGAGTGTGCCACGTTCAGAACTTGGCACGACGTATCTGAGGACTGAAGATAGCGATGTAACGATGTCAATTTTGTTATTGTGTTATTGCATCGATTGACGACACGCGGGATTTCACGTCGAGAGTGTGATAATTATGTGGCTTGTTAGGGGAAAATGGGGTTAGAATTGTGGGTCTCCTGACATAATTTTAAAGACAAGGGAAATTACAAATATAAAACACACTCGGACTTCTCAATCGGTATTACCGCGGCTGCACGGTAGTTATTAATTCAAGTGGGAAATCCATAATCAATTGAGTGTATGACTGCCGGCAGCAGTTTGACGTATAAATGGTGACCCCATTGCACACACTGCCTTCCACCATTCTATACACCTGAGGAAAGCATTTAGACGATATGTTCATGGAATAATTATAGCAAAAAAAGACTCGCTCCAACAGCGTCATAATGTTCTTGAATTTCATCCGATTGAAGTTGCAATTAGATCCACAGTCATTATATTGATTGCATATTTTTCTCTCTTCTTTTCTTCCCGCTCGGTGGTTCCAGGAAGCCAAATCAACCTTTCGGATACTGATGAACGAATCCACCCGGCGGCTAAAGTTATCGTCCAAGAAACTCGGCAGCTGCATCGACAAGGCACGACCGTACTACGAGGCACTGGAAAAAGCCAAAACGGCCCAGCTGGAATGTCAGGCGGTGGCGATCAAGTACCAGCGGGCGAACGAGATCCATGCGGCGGCCAAGGAAACGGTGGCACTGGCGGAGCAACGCTTCATGAGTAATTCACACGAGTGGCAGTTCGATAACGCCTGGCAGGAGATGCTTAATCACGCCACGATAAAGGTGCGTTGACTGGGTTTGATGATACATACAACGTCATGAGGTGGGAAGAATGTGACATGTGACAGTAGTAAGATATAAGTGTCAACGATACTGTTTTTTTCCTTCTTCTGGCAAACCGTTATACTTCGGCATAGATTCCTTTATAATTGAATTTTAAGTTTGAATTAAGGTTACTACACATACCCTTTAGATTTGCAAGTATAAAGCCGTCGAAACAAAAACAAACAAGTGTGCTCCGCATGTTAAGCGCACACTGAATCTACTTCCGGGCACCCCACTAGGGTACTTTCGTATAGCGTCATCTGCTATGTAGTACCGGTTTAACCAGCTGTTCGACTTGTTTTAAAAACAACCGCGTTGCAGATGCCTAAAACATTTGCTTTTGAATACTTTTGCATTCGTAATTAGAATTGTGTCCGCACTGTTTATCCATGCTTTCGCTTTATATCAGTTGGACCCCCGTCGCTGTCTACTGGGACTTTTAAATCGCTGTTACGCTTCACGAACGCCCCGGAACCACCGGTGTGTCGGTATGTTCAAATATACATACTTATTCATCGTTTTGCTCCAGTGCTGATGAGGCTTTTCCCTTATTGTTCCGCGAGACCTGTTATTCAATCACTTTGGGGGCGATGTATAATTTGAGAACGAAATGGCCAACTGTTTTCTGGTTAGAATTTAACGATGTTGCTGTAAAATCTCTTACCTGGTCGTTAGTCGCTACTGGAAAGGTTTCTCATGTTTGAAGTGTGCAATAAATGGCAGCAGTGCCCGGTTCCAGCCCAAAAGCAGCCAAAGTTCGAATTGGAATGCAATATTTATGAAATTTGTGGCATTCCCATTTGGATTGTTAACCTTGTGATTGTACGACGTGATGTTGACCGTCTGTATTAGAAATGCAAACCACGAAAGTTTCAATTTGCATTCACGCACCGGGTGGACTATATGGCAACAGCAATGGATGGTTTGTCACTTTGGTTGGATTTCGGCGAACGTTGTGGAAAATTTGGCAATAGTGCACAGTGGAAAAATACTGACCACCGATTGATCACTTAATTGTAGATGAAACAAGCAGGGTTGTTATGGCTACGCGCATTTGGCTACGTTCGCGATTTTCTTGGACTTGGCGCGGCTTTGCCTCTTAGACTTGGGTCCGGCACAAACATGGCGTAGATTACATTCACTTAGTATGAATCGAGGTAGCCTGAACCGAGAAAACACTGTCAGTCTTGTTTAAATAAGCGAGTCTTGTCATTGCGGTGAAGTTTTCCTTGTTTTGAAGCTTTAAATTAATGAAAAATTATACCTGATTCTCACCGAACAGTTCAACTGTTGAAAGTCGGTAATCGTTTCTATGTGTGTAGTAAATCATTTCTTTGAAACTTATCTTAGGATATGTCTGCACATTTCTCAAGGATTTCCTTAGGATCATTTCAAAATTTCTTCATAATTACGCGTACCTTCAGGATTCCCCTCAATCTTCATATGGTTTTGATTATGGTAATTTTGGAAGTTTTCACCCAATAAGTCGGATTTTATGCAAAATTCTCACGGAAAATCTCTCCATTATATTTTTTTACAATTCGCTTGGAATATTCCTGGAAGCTTCGTGGTATGCCATTAAGAATTTAGAAATGTGTATCCCAAAATTTTCCTCAGAATTCTATAGAAATTTTCCTCAGAATTTCCTTGATATGCTTCTTTAAATACTCTTGAGGAGGATTCTCGATAGAATTCCCTTGGAAATTTCATCAGAATCACCCGGATCACTACTTAGAATTTCTATGGAAATAAGCTCAAAATGTCCAACCAAATCCTCCCAAACTTTTTGACATGTATTCAAAATTATCACATAGCGGCACCGGTGGTGTAGTGGTAAGCGTGATTACCTCTCACCCCAGCAGGCCTGGGTTCAATCCCAGTCGGAACCGCCGGAATGTTCTGAGGCATAACATCTTTGATCATGGAAGTAAAGCCGTTGGTCCCCGGTTCATGAGTTGATGGGTCGATTGGTAGGATCCAGGTGTGGGAGCTGCCTCCCTGGCGTCGGTAGCATTGGTGCTCAGCACGGAAAACAAGATCGACGAAAAACAAATTATGAAAAAAAACCAACAAATTTAAAAAATCCTGATCACTTATTTTGTGATGACGGGTTTTTCTCCGATTATCTGCATTTAAAATGAAATGCTGTAACTTTTTTTTTCAGTGGTATCCAGTGGCGTCGCGTAACCTCACTTTTACTTGTTCAACAGCATTGGAAACTTAATTTAGAGTCATATCTAAATGTATTCAAATCGGTCCCAAATTGTATAGTGTCTTCTTGTTTCACTGATTTGTATCGATTTAAAGCAATATATTTTTACTTGAATACGCTTTGAGAGTAGTGCCGAGGAGTCAATCAAAGCGTTTCGCCCAATCTCTCTATTAAACTTCGATTAAAAAAATTCTTGCAAGGATCTTGAAACATAGACTAAGTAAAGAAATGGAGGAAATAAGGTTGTTAACTCCAAACCAAAAGTGCTCAAATTCAAAAAGGAATATATTCGAAGCGGTACATTCCATCAAATACCGAATAGTTGAACTCAACTGTAAAAAGAAATCAGGCAAGCTAATATCCTTTGATCTAGACCATGCTTTTGATCGTGTTGATCACGGTTTTCTCTTGGGTTCGATGCTGAGCATGTGTTTAAATCCATCATTTACTTCACTTCTCGGGAAGATTATATCCACCTCGTGTTCACGGTTACTTATTAACGGAAATCTCTCTCCTGAATTCCCTATCCTTCGGTCCGTACACCAAGGTGACCCCCTTAGTATGCACCTTTTTGTACTATACCTACATCCCCTCCTGGACAAACTATCTTCTATCTGCAACGACCCTATGGAGCTAGTAGTGCGGACGACATTTCGATTATCATCGTCGATGATAACAAATTGGATCGTGTCAAACACGCTTTTTTGGATTTCGGAGCCACTCAGGAGCAGGAGAACATCAACGCCGGTCAGTAAGGAATCAGTTAAGGTTCTTGGTGCTACCTACTTTAACTCGTTGTAGAAAAATATCGATTTCAAGTGGGGAGAAGCCATTCGAAAAACATCGCATCTTATGTGGTTGTTCAAATCAAGAAACCTGACTCTGCACCAGAAGGTAATTGTTTTAAACACGTATATTACGTCACGTTTGTGGTACTTGGCTTCAGTTATTAGTATGCCTAACTCTGCAATTGCAAGAATAACATTGCAAATAGGATACTTCTTATGGAGTCGTTTCCCTACAAGACAATGCCTCTCAATTGGGTTCTTCTAGGGTATTGAGGTAAATGCATATTCGTAATCTGCATTAAAAATAGAACCCAAACCCAAAATTTCATCAATTTTGGCACACTGGAACTATTTTAAATAAGTACGATTACATTTGCAAAAATCACCTTATTAGCGCCCCTCGGTGTCACTTTGTATGGGAGCGAGCTGTCAGTTTGTCAGTTTAGTGTCAAACAGTAAAGTTATTATTTTGCTTTAAATCATGATTTAAAAATCGATATGAAAGTGCGTGGGGTTGAAAAAAATATCGCTGTGCTCAGAAAACGAAGCTCTTTCAGATTATATATAAAAACCGATATATTTTTCAAAATTAAAGAACCCAATTGTGGTGGCTTAAATCTTCACCTGCCCATTCACTAAAGCAAATCACTTCTGGTGAACAGATTCTGCTGTAGTCTTGCGCACACACCGTTCGCACGAGATCTTTCAGTACACATAGCAAATCCACCAAACATTGCGGCCATACCAGCGCTCTATCCCTGTTTAAAATATATAGGGAAAATAGTGTCCTATATACCAGAGCAGATCATAAGAAACCCATCATCTGATGGACTACACAATTTCTTCCGTGACAAGATGAAGCGCCCTAAATTTGTTGAAAAAACCCAAGCATCGCATGGAGCAAAAGTATGGAATAATATCAACAGCAAACATCTTACATCGGCTGAAAGATCAACCGGAAAATACCTCATGCAGACTTACTGCACCGCACTAACCGACAAGACAGTCCTATGTGCCGGTTCTGTCCAAACGTTCCTGAGGATTTAGAACACAAATTTTCCAGTTGTGTTCGTGTTCGAGATTTATGGATCTTTCTTCGTCTGGAATTGGAGACAATCCTAGATAAACACCCCTATTCTGTATTCCGTTTCGAACGAAATTCTCATACAAAAAAATATTTTTTTGTATGAGAATTTCGTTCGAAACGAAATACAGAATAGGGGTGAAAGAGTAGGGTTTAGGGACTTCTTGATTCCTGAATTAATTAATGTTCGAAGAAGTAGTAGGAGAAAGGCTCTGAAATTGTTTATATGTTACGTGAGCTTTGTGTTGAATGCCGAAAATGTTTTTTTTTTTATGATCAAGCTCTAGACTTTGTTTTAAATTGTGAAAATGTAAACGTGTAAACTGTGTTTCAAACAAGTGTAATAAATGTGTTAAAAAAAAAGAGTAGTTGAACAGGTAGATTGATGTTGGGGCGACGTCAGTGGTGACGTCAATTGCTTAAATCAAACATGCCGGTATATTTTATTGAAAATTTCTTGGAATTATATTTAGAATCACCCGGGACTTAACATCTGAAATGTTCATGGAATTTTCTTAAATTTTATTAGAAACTCATCCTTGAATGCTCTCTCAGAATCAAATCGAAACTTTCCTCAGTATTACCTAAAAACTATAGGATTATTAAAATTAAATTCCCTTTGTGTGAAGTCCATTGTAAATCTCTTTAGAAATTACTCAAAATTATCATCTGAATTTCCTTGGAATATCCCCTGAGTTATTTTGAAAATATCTTTAGAGTTCCCTTGGAATTTCTTTGGAACTGTCCTCCCTTGTAATTGTCTTCCTCAGAAATCTCTACGACTTCTCCTGTAAACTTATATGGAATACTCTTTAAAATGGGATCTGGTTCGCTTCACAATTTTTTATAGAATTGGGTTCTTTAGGGGTATTGAGGTAGGGTTAAATACCCCATTTCCGGCCTATTAAGCACAACCCGCACTTAGTCTTTCTTAATCTAGCGCAGTTTAGAACCAAACGGAATGTTATTATTACTGATGGCTTCCAAATTTATTTACCTCTCCGTACGCACCGTAAGATTTGATAAAGAGAAACCAATCGTTGAGCCATTGTCATTGCTTCTTGACGCCAAAATTGGCCTACGGATTCTAAACTCGGCCCAACGCATTGAAACGCCATTGAAACGCCAACGAATTCTCTTCGGCCTATCGGATGAAGATAAAAATTGATTTGGTTGGAGCGCTTCTTTTGTTTTTAGGAATAATGGGTGCCAACATTTATATCACGCGTTCTCATTGACTTCGTTCGGTAGCTTATTAACTAAAGTATCGTACCAAACGCATAATTGACATGTTAACTCTGAAATCATGGATTTATTTGAAGTTTTCTGCTCGATAGGCCCAAAATGGGCGATTAGGCCGAAGTAGTTCTCTACCCTACTTGCATATTCGTAATCTGCATTGCAAATGAAACCGAAATCCAAAATTTTATCAATTTTGGAGTACTGGAACTATTTTAAATAAGTGTAATTACATTAGCAAAAATCACCATCTTAACACCCCTCGGTGAGACTTTGTACGGGAGCGAACTGTCAGTTTGCTAGTTTTGTGTCGAACAGTGAAGTGATTATTATGATTTAAATCATGATTTAAAAATCGAGATGGAAGATAATGGGAAATATCGTTCTCAGAAAACGAAGCCTTTTCATGGTGTATAGTAAACGATATTTTTTCAAAATTAAAGAACCCAGGTATCAGAATTACTGATAAATTTAACCCACAGCATTCCTTTGAATTCCCATGCGGTTCTGCTCTCAATTACTTTGCCATTCTAATCAATACTACCTACATCACAATCTTCAAAGCGACAAAATCCAGGAATTTTACAAGTTCTAGAATCTCAATTTCAAATATGGAGTCTTATTGACATCTTGAATCTTTATTTTATTGTTAGTCAACAAATAATATTATCCCAATATCTCGAATATCTTTTTCCGAGTCTCTATTTTTCAAGTTTCTCATTTTGCAATCAATTAAAACGTGAATCATCATGTCATTAAATTTCATTATTCTGTAATTCTGTACCTGATGATTTCTAATTTCTGAAACGTGATAATCCTTTAGAGATCCCTTACATAAGAAAATATCTATGTTTGGTAAGGTGGAAAGTTAGGACACACAATGAATCAGAAATCTAGCAGAATGAGAGGTTTTCTTTTTTTTAAGTTTTTAAAAAATCCAGGTGTACATGATAAATCTGGCAATGTAATCAATTAAAGTTTGAGACCAAATTTGTTAATTATAATATTCCCAAAATTCTTTCATTGGATTTAATGTTATAAATTTTGTAACATAGATTCAGAGGAATTCAATGCTTACCTTCAACTAAATTCTTTGCATAATTTTTAAAGGAACTTATGAGCATTATGGGAAGAGTTTAAAAGTCGTTTTTCATCATGAGATATTTTACTAAAGAGCTTCAGAAAGAATTAAAAGCATATCTTGTGCTAATATCCTTGTTACGAGCTATTGATGGTTTTTCATAAGAATTTAAAAATGAAATGAAACATAAATGAACTTTACATGAAATAGTCCTTTTTTGTTTTGCTTTTTATATTTTTTGTTGAATTACTACAGACAATTTCTTGTGTGATATAAAAGGGAAATAGAGACACTTCGTTTTTTGGAAACACTTAGTTAGTCCGTAGCTACTTATGCTTATCACCCCGTCCATGTGTTTTTAGTTAGAGGAGCTTCTTTATGATACTTCTTTTAGAAGCTTTCCCGCCGCTACGCTCCATTATCTTTCACAAAATAAAACACGGGAAAGGTGTATTACCTGAGCAGCTATGCATTAATTCAGACAATGTCACAGGCTTAATATAGAAAAAAAAAAACCATGAGAACAGTTTTTGATAGATTTTAATCCAACTCTCTCTACGTGGACAATCTTTCATACCAATTCTTCAGCATTTACATGGACATCTGGACAGCCCCTAAGAGTGAGCGTCACACCTTCCATTAGCGTTGCGAAAAGTCGTAACTGTCGTTCCACTTGACCCTCTTTATTCAATTGTGAATTTAAAATTTGAAACGCAATTCCGCAACGTTTCAATTCTTCGACTTTTCGATTTTATTTTCGTTTATTTTCATATGGTGTGTGAAGCATTTCCATGTGGCTGGCGAAGTGATCGAATGATTCGACTCGAAACCGCCACCCCAGCGTGTTTTCTCATTCAATGCATTTGACTGAATACCGCCTCTGTGCAAACCAAACTGCATCCAACTCAGAAATTACAGTTTTTCTATTTTTAACGAAAGTTTGGAAATTCCTCTGGCAACCCATGACACATAAAAAAACAGGAAGGACTGCCAATGCCAATGCCAGAACGGAATTTTTTTGTTTTTAATGGAATTCTTCTTCGAACGAATCGAAAAACCTGATCGCTATTCGTTTATCACGTTTGTTTATTTTTTCCTTTCTCTCTCTCAATCTTCTATCGTAGGTGATGGATGCCGAGAAACAGAAGGCGGAAAGCGGGGCCGAACACCAGAAGAAGGCAAAAGTATTCCAGGAAGCAGAACTGAAAGTAAGTATCGGAGGAGGAAATTGTGTTCAATGCTGATAATTCGATAACAACATATTTTGAGCGATCTTTGAGAAGGACTTCCTACAAGTGCAAAAAGTCGTTACAAAATCCAATTTATTCCGGAAAACTTCATCATAACAACTTTCTTCTCTATGTTGGAAGCGCTGGTTGCTCTTGATCCAATCAGCAAGATGAGCCGAAGTTTAAGGGGGGTTTGAAGGTAGTGGTTGGTTGAGGGTGATAAAATAATTAGCACTCTTAATTACTGACAATTCACACGGTGGCGTCTCTTGATAAGTGCTCGAAATTTATTATTATTAATTACGATTTGCAAAAAACTGCTTCGTTTGAAATCTGGTGCGGTGGTGAATGGTCGACGGAGAAGACAACGATGGTTGGAGGAGGATGCTATTTATTGAGTGATTCGCTTTTTTTTTCGTTTCACATACTCACTTTCCTCGACCTGATATTATCTTCTTGCATGTGGGATGTTTTATTTTTGAAGTAGCAAAGAGGGCATGACCGTTGATTTCGACAGACAAGTGATGCGCAGAATGAAAGTAAAACTTGTGCAACTGCGATGTACTCCTTTTGGGCACTAATCTTTACTTATCATTTCGGGTCGATTACGTTTAATGACGCAATTTCGTATATCTTGTGGTTGTGAAATTGCACCATTAAAAGGCATACAGCAACTTTCTCCATCTGTTGTAATAAATCTTGAGTTAAAGAGTTAGCATTTTTCCTCCTAACATATCTCGTTTTCTACGTACCGCGTGTGAGATCCTCGAGCTGGCAAAATTAAATTTTCCATATAAGGGAAATGGATGTAATGTCGGCCTAAATGCCCCTTATTTGGGCCCATACATAAATTCAACAATTTAAATTACTAAATTTTTAATAGCAACCAAAAATATCCATTAGTACCGTCCCAATGACGCGTTCATTTAGATACAATTGATAAATAGCAGATTTTTAGCGATGGGCCCAATCTTAGATCCATAGGCCAACCTTAGAGCCATTTCTCCTAGTCTCTACCAATTTAGCACTGCCTAAAGGGAATTTTTTCAGCTTTTCAAAAATTCCATCCCTATGTTTCGGAAACTTTAAAAGTTCGTGAAACAATATGTTTTTTGATATCAAATCTGATAAACTGTACAAATCGGTTCGACACAATGACTGTGGCATCAAAGTAGGCTATTACCACCGGTAATTAAGTTTGTTAACAAGTTATTGCAATAAAAATCTGCTGAATTTTAAATACTTCCACACATTTTGGTCACTTCCATGGGAGTACCGTTTCGGTTCTATTCTCGAATTTGGCCAATTTTGTTAAAAATGGTTCTTAGTTTTGAAATTCAGGCATAACATTTGATAACGGTACAAAAGCATTTGTAAACAAACTTTCTAAGGCCCTTTACACGCGAACCAGAGTACGCCCACGCAAACCAATACCACTATCGGAAAGGTGATAGTTGCCCCTATCCGATGATGTTGTTGGTTTGCGTAGGCGTACTTTGGTTCGCGTGTAAAGGGCCTTAGAAAGATGGTTTAAAAATACTTTTGTGCCGTTATCAAATGAATTTTGTCCGGGTTTTGTTAGGAGTTGCCCACTATGCAGAGGTACTCCGCGTTCTAAAACGTACCATTAAGTCGATGAAATTCTCCCTAAACCTTTAAAAAAACATTACTCCGTAGCTGCTCAGATTTGCTGTACTGCCCGTGTTTTGACAAGTATGCGTCCAAAATGTGCTTCCAACAGAAGCTTATTTTAGAATCTTCTTAAGATGCTTCTTTTAAAAGCGTTTTTTTAGAATCTTTTTTTAGAAGCTTATTTTGAACGTTTGTCCGTCGCTCCGCTCCTATGACCATGCTTGGCATGCACAGTTGTACACACCAACTGCTCATTTGTTAATAACTTTTCACCCAGTTGTTGAAATTTAGTTTTCTTTAAAGTAATTGATAGATTAGGATCATAGTTTACTGTAGACATGCAAAGAGTAGGTAAATCTTATCATTTGAATCAACATCAATGAGTTTTTACACTTAAAGTCCGAGATGTGCAGCGAGCATTTCTCACTTCATTTTTGCAACGCAAAATCAAATACAGTTTATTACTAGAATTAAAATCTCCTCTTTTTTACATATCTGTAAAAAGCTTAAACTCTATTCTATCGACTGCTTCAAACAGAACTATGTTTCGTCAACTCTGTGCAAAGTTATAAGCAAATGAGCAGTTCGTGAGCAAAACTGTGTATGCCAAGCATGCCTATGACTATATAGCAGTAAATTTGAGTACCTACATAGCAAAAAAAACGTTTTTCCAAGGTTTAAAGAACATTTTATATGCTACAAAAACCATTTACTCAATTCGAACCAAAAGTTGGTTTTTTTAACCCAGTCTTCTATAGAAAGATCAGAACTTTTAAATATTTGATTTTTCAATCTTAGACATGCAGTATTTCTTAATGTATTACTTAGATATGTTTCCAATAATTTTGGCATTTCGATTTATAGCAAAACTCAGTTGAAATGTTTTCCATGATTTTCTTTGAATTGGTTAGAAATAATTCTGCATTTCTTTGAAGATCATAAGTCATTTAAAACAGATGGAACCGCCATGAAGTTCTCGATGCTTCCATGAAATGCCCGAAATTTGAAGAAAGTTCCCTTATTATCCTACATTCCATTGATGTAACTCCCCCGAAATCCTCGTTATTTCCTTAAATTCCTTGGAAGATTTCCCTACCAGCAGTTCCATTTCAAACGACGATTTTTTTTAAATTTTTTGATCGACCTTCTACGATTATGTTGAAACTTTGCACAGTTGTTTGTTATTGTCCAACATGCCATTTTACATATTTGGTTCCCTTGTTTTGTACACGACTAACACTTGAAAAGGGCTTATGCAAAAATGATACGCATCAATAGAAAAACATAAATCTGGCGAACGATTTGTTTGATTGAGATGGTGTCTTAGAAGAAGTTGCGAAGTATTATGCCTTTAAGAAAAAATATACACTGTAAAAAATTATTATTATTTTTTACATAAAAAAAAATAAAAATTATCAAAAATAAAATAAAAATAAAAATTACTCAAATTGCATATTTTTTTTTACTTTTTTTTTGTGGTTTCGGTAAAGTAGTACCTACTGATACTGTGCATTTGCTGGACAAATCATAAACAAAAAAGTTATGAATTATTGAAAAAATAAGTATTTTCCAAAATACTACCAATAGTTATCGAATATCATTGAAATAGTGTTAATATTAAAACACATTAAATTTACAACAAAAAAGCTAATAATGCTTAAATTGCCCAAATTTGTTATTTTCGAGATACTCGTAGGTTAAAATTCACTTATCGCATATTTTAAGAAATTTTCGCCCTTTTGAGATGTTTACTCAAATTGCATATCTTTTTAAAATATTTTTTTTATATTTATTTTGTAGCTTAGGTGAAGAAATACCTACTGACACTGTGTATTTGCTGGGCTAATCATAAAAAAATAAAGAAATGAATTATTGAAAAAAATTTTTTTTTTCCAAAATACTACCGATAGTTATCGAATATCTTTGAAATAGTGTTAATATTAAAACACATTAAATTTACAACAAAATAGCTCATAATGCTCAAATTGCCCAAAGTTGTTATTTTCGAGATACTCGTAGGTTAAAATTCACTTATCGCATAATTTGAGCGATTTTCGCTCTTTGGAGATGTTATTCGTGAGTGTCCAATCTTGAAAGTATTTTTAACAAAAAGCCCAATTAATTTCCTTAAACTTTGCTGTTCACAGTTTTTTAATAATACGCATGAGTTAAGATATAATTAATTATGAGTAAGAGACCGTATGGGAAAAGTGTATTTTTCTGTTTGGCCCCATATACGGCTAGCTAGTTTAGCTAATTTTTTAAAATAATTTTTAAAAAAATATGCAATTTGAGTAATTTTAATTTTTTTTTGTAAAAAAAAATATTTTACAGTGTAATTTTTTTTAAGGTACAATACTTGTACTCAACTTTGCCCAAGACACCATCTCGATCAAACAAATCGTTCTCGAGATATATATTTTTCTATTGATGCGTATCCTTTTTGCATTAGCCCTTTTCAAGTGTTAGTCATGTGCAAAACTAGGGAACCATATATGTAAAATGGCATGTTGGGCAATAACAAACAACTGTGCAAAGTTTCATCATAATCTTAGAAAGTCGATCCGAAACGATTTGCGAATCTTTGTGGAACTGCTCTACATTTTTTGTGAACACCTTGAAGTTTTCTAATCTTTCCTAATAATAATTTTGATAATTTGCAGGTAGAACGATATTTTAGCTCTCAAATAGTTATGATTAAAAAAAGAAAATCGATTTTCGGAGCCGGTTACTCAAGGAGTAACAATGATATACCACCATGACAGTCCTGTTTCTATGCCAACCAACGCATGAATTTGTATATAGTGTGGAAAGCATAATTATACTCTACTCGAAAAAAAAAACCGTTCCCATATTCGTGAACGGCAGCCGTGAACCATAGTTCACGATCCGCGCGTAGAAGGAAATATGCACCGTGAACTAAAGTTCACGGCTCTCGTTTACGAATATGGGAACGGATTTTTTTGCTAGTAAGCCCAGGAAAGTAGAGTAAATTTCGAACCAGACATATTTCCTCGACTGTTTGTTTTGATCAAGCTTAATAACCTCTGATTGTCGTCAACATGTCGCTGTATGAAGGGCCAATACGCATCTAAGAGACAGTAAAGAATCTTCTTCCAGCAACATGATCGCGCAATTGGTTAGAAATACGAGCCCCCAGACAGGATGATGCCTCAATGCGCGGGGAGAAGAGTCCGCCCTTTATCCACGAAATGTTATCAACAGGGAGTTGGCATTCCCACTCTCCCCGTCCATATCGCTTCAATCGGGTGACCGCTTGGTAATACCGCGCAATTACTGACTAGGTTATCTGAAACCTTTAAAGTCCATCTCTACTATCCAATATT